CCTGAAGATTTCACCATGCGTGATTTTGGCACATGCTAGCAGGAAAAAGATGGCATGAACACCAAAGGTCTGTTGTTTATTTTCTGTTCTGTTTACTTCAGCTATGGAGGTGTCACAGGAAATGATGCATTTGTAACTAGTTAAAGCTGTATTCTTTTGTATTTTTATTAAAATAAAACCATTTCTTTTAAATCTAGATTTATTTTCTGACTATATGATTGAATTTAGCATTTTTTTCTGAGATTGCATATAGAGTAGGGTTCAGCCGATAGCACTCTGAGAGCGCTTGCTGTGACGTGTGTTTCTGAGGAGGCCATGCTTGCCGTTAGATAAACTAAGCTAGCGGCTGGAAACGTACATTTTAAGATGAATCCTGCCAGCAATTCATGCCTGGTTCTTGGCATCCGTCTGCCTCATGGTTCTGAGCTGCTGAGATTGACGTGGGCTGGAGATGTAGCTTGTAGTGCATAAAAAATAGACTCAAAGCATAAATTTTACAGAGCAACACGTCTAAATGGTGATACTTTGCAGCCGGTGGAAATGCAGCCATCCACTACACCTGCAGTTTTGCTGTATGTTACTCGACGCTTGTGCATTATTTCTGCAGAAACGTACGTTTCTTCTTACTGGACGTGATGTCTGGATGCATCAGATGTGCTGCATTTTGCTTCTTGGCCTGAAATGTTGAAAACTGGAGCTTTAAGATGACACCATTTTTTGTTTGTTGAGTACGTCACTAGCTGTTAGCTTGTCAGTCTGGTCAGTGTAAAGTTGCTTATTCTGCCACAGAACCGCACTTCATTAAGTATTGATCGAGACTAACCGGTGATCTGAGCCACAAGGGCAGGTAAATAAAAAGCTCCACATCAGAAACCCTGCAAGGCAGCGAGACTCTCAGCCAAACAGATCTGTGCGTGTAACCGTTTCAGCTGTGATCTGATTCCATGTTGCACATGGTCAAAGTAGTTTTCCACGCAACAGCAGGGGGACCTGGGAAATTGGTTTCCTTGCTGGGGAATCTCACTTTTTCATCTTCTCCGTGCTTTCTTAATCTTTAGCAAAGGTTTAACAAACATCTGCTGGGGGAAAATGCAGAAATGCACAAATAAGTGGTGTCTGTTTTCACTTCCTGTCCTCAAAGTGTCTCCGCTCTTTATGAATCCCTCCTTCACAAACAGGATATCAGGAAAAAGTCAATTTTTTCATGTGAAAAGATAATTTTTAATCATTTAATGGATGTAAAACTATTAGCTGCTGATACAGATTTATAGTGAAATTTAAAAAATGGAGAAAAAAGTTTTTTTTTCTTTGATCAATGCTCATTTTCCTCTAAAACTTGTTGCTTTAATATATCATTTAAATCAGAATCACATTATGGAGGCCATGTTCTTCACATTCAATTCAATCCTTTTTGGTCATTTTCCTTTCCTGCAGAGCGTCAGATGATTTGGCTCAATCTGATTTAAAAGCCAAAAGCATCAAATGAGCAGCGGGGATCAGATCACCACATTAGAAATCAGAGAAGATAAACTCAGACGATGCCTATTAAAATGGCCGGAGGAGCCTCTTTCAAATGAGACCTGACATCTCGTATCCACAGCCTGTCAGGAGTATTTGGTCATTAATTGGAAACCTGCAAAATCTGTGTGTGCGTCGACAAGAAGAGAGGGAGGAAGAGAGTGGGCTCCAGTGGGAGGTTAATAGAAGAGGTGACCAAAAAGAGATGCCCTCGAGCTGTTACTGTTCAGTCAGTGTGAAGGAAAGCCGTCCGCCGGCTGGAATGTCGTCTGGATCCATCGAGTCGCCGGCTAATGAGCTTGGCGGGTACATCGTAGTGGCTGTTACGGGACAGTCCTTCCCTTCAGCTTGATTGGAGAGACTCTCGCTTTGTTTCACAGCCAACTTTCAGGCCGCTTCAGTTTCAGCTTGTCAGTCAGACCCGGATCTGCTGCAGCCGCTGCCACACGCTCGCCTGTTGATTCCCGGCTTAATCTTTCGTAGTTTGACTCTGGATGTGTTTCGACCCCAGAGGGGTCCTCATTAGGACCAAAACGCTGTGTGACCTTTAAGTAGCTTGGCCTTCCTCCACCACCCAGCTGGGCCTAATTACCTCGCTCATTACCCCCCTCCCTGCTACTAAACAGGTACTGGAGCTATCTATGGAGAGACAATATGTCTGCCACTAAAAACCACATTCTGAAAATGGAAAAGAGATTTTCATCTTTTTCTTTAGTCTCTGTCTCTTTCTTTCTTCTGTACTTTAAATGTATATTTGACCTTTCCAGCTCTCCATCAGGATCCTGTTTGCCATCCCTCAGAAACCCCCAGGCTGACGCCTTAAAATAGAAGACGTCCCCTCGGCTGCCGTGTGGACAGGCTGATAGGGTGATCAATGTTTGCAGGGTCCTTATAACGCAGAAAGAGAAAAGGCTTGAGAGGAAGAGCGAGGGAGATGGATGATTATCCTAGAAGTAGCGACCTGAATTAGATAGAATTCTGCATACATTGCGGGCCGAGTGCAATCACTGGGATAGATTAAAATACTAATTAAACAGACCCATTGTTGAATTTGGAGTGTGAGGTGGAGTTCAGCTCTTCAGGGTCATTTGCATAGCCTTCATCTGGGGAGATGGGATTTAAAGGACCCGCTCTCTTTCTGCTGTTTTTATTTCCCCCTGTTTTCCACCACAAGTCACAATCACAAGCTAACAAACTCGTTTAGACAGTGTTACGTCTATAATCTATTACGGCTCCTCTGACATTTGTTGTCTAATATAAATGTTTCCATCAGATCGAGGAGGGGGACGTGGAGCACCAGGAGGAGGAAGTTGGCGGAACCGTGTGATCTTGAGCGATTGGATATTTAACATCACCTCACTTTGGTTTGATTTGCATGAGAATATCCTCTGTGAACAAAGCATTGGAAATGGCATGCCATATTTGATTAGATCACCAGATCTGAGGATCAAACTGGGGTTGGTGTATTAATTACTACAAGAACAAAGGCGGGAGCTCAAGTTATTGTGTGCTGTGAATGAACAAGCACATTGGCTGCTTTCTGATAATCTTCTAGAAGTCTGGATATTTGTGCATAATGACAGTTCATGTGTAATATTAGTTTTTATCCAATGAGCATCCAACACTTTCCAGTTTCTGTTGCAGGAATCCTATAAACTCTAGTGGAAGACATTATCGTACCTAATAGAGTAATCTAACTGATTACTTTTCCCATTGTTGTAATGCCGTTAGGGTTGCTGGCAGGGGCGGACTTAGGACTGAAGAAGATCCGGGGCTTAACACATGTGCGTGCGCGCGCAAACACACACACATGTGACACGCACTAGTCAACATCATATATATTTGTCTTGTATTTAATCTGAAGCTACATATTAAGCATTTTCAGGGCAGAGTATTGTTCCTGTTAGTGTTTAGTGTGAGATGGTAGTAAGTATTCCCTTTCTTTCTCCAACAACTAGTAAGCTAACTTTAGGCAAACCAGCAGCACAACAAATATTTTCAAATAAGACTCACAAACCTGAGTCAGCACCAGTCTCATCAAAGCTGGGGTTCTGTCGTTGTACTTTTGGTCTAAAAAACGTCCTTATGTCCATCTTCACTCATGCGTTTCAGGCAGAAACTGCAGAAGAAGCCGGCTGCTGAAGGGCTTCTTCTTCAGTGGTGGAGGCTCAGGCAGGCTGTATACAAACTGCTGCCAGCTGCTCCCCCTCTGTTGGACTTTGGTACTGCATGTTACTTCCACGTTTTAGATCCGGGGCTTTTCATAAAACATTCGGGGCTTGAGCCCAAGTAGCCGGACCTAACGCCACCCCTGGTTGCTGGGCATGCTCACTGGGAGCATGATAGGAAAAGTAATTAGTTAGATTACTCCGTTACTTAAAAAATAACGCTGTTACCAATGCTGTTATACTTAAACGCCATTACTCCCAACACTGTTCATGAGTGGTGGGAAAGATGGAGCATAAGAACTATAGGCGGATTGGTGCTGCGTCTGCAGTGATGCGGGCGTTGTACCGGTCTGTTGTGAAGTGAGAGCTGAGCCGGAAGGTGAAGCTCTTGATTTAACAGTCGATCTACGTTCCTACCCTCACCTATGGTCACGAGCTTTGGGTAGTGACCGAAAGAACGAGATTGCGGATACAAGCGGCCGAAATGAGTTTTCTTCACAGGGTGTCTGGGCTCTCCCTTAGAGATAGGGTGAGAAACGCGGTCATCCGGGAGGGGCTCGGAGTAGATCCGCTGCTCCTCCACATTGAGAGGAGCCAGTCGAAGTGGCTCAGCCATCTGATTAGGATGCCTCTTGGTGAAGTTTTCCGAGCACGTGCAAATGGGAGGAGACCTAAGTGGAGACCCAGGACACGCTGGTGGGTCTCTTACCTGGCCGGGGAACGCCTTGGGATTTGAGCTGGCCCCAGGGGCTGAGGAGAGGGAAGTCTGGGCCTCTGTGCTTAGGCTGCTGACCCGACCTCAGATAAATGGACTAAAATGGATGAATGCAATGTTGGATGTGGAAAAACAATGTATGTGTGACTAATGAGGACTGTCCTGACATCCAGCTACATCTTGGATCTGTTTGTGTTTGACATTTATTTGGCAGGAAAGTTGACTTTTAGATAAACAAATTTACATTTTTCTTGAGTGTTTTAATAGAAACTTTCAGCACAATAAGTCTGTTAAATAAAATTTGCACACACAAACTCTTACAAGGCTGCAGACACAGCTGCAAACTCACTTTTTGCACGAGTACAACTTTCAAAAACTTGCCAGTACACGCCAGTGGCTGCTATCTTAAGATTTAATGTGTGTGTGTGGGCCGAGGACACTTTCTATGACGAATTTGACATCTGATTCAGGCTGATACAGCCATTGCATCATTCTCAGTTTGACCACTTGCTCTGTACCAGGAACTGCAAAACTTGCCAGTTTGTCATCCACTGCTCACTGCCACCTCAAACCTCCTCTGCCTTTGTCTCCCCATGTAGTCCAAGACAAGCAGCAGCTGGAGAAGGAGACGGGTCTGAAGATAGTGGAGGCTGGAGTGAGTGACGTAAGTAAAACTCACCCATATCTCTGATCTCTGCTGTGTGGCTCTGCGAGCTCCTTTATAGAAAGGGAAAGCGTGTTTGTGAATGTGTGCGTTTGTTGTGCTGGAGCTCATAAAACAGAAATAACTCCATCATGGCATTTGCATCGCACCCGCAGCTTCAGCTGTGCAGCCAAACACTAATCTTTCACTGCAATGAATTCCAAACACACATCCTTTTTAAGTGTGCCGCTGCGATTACTGACACCCCCACCCACCCCCACCCCCGATTTGTTCCCTTCAGGTTTAGCAATTAAAAAAAATAAGAAAACACAACAAGACAAAAAGCCTGACGCACTTTGAAAGTTAAAGTAGTCCCTCCGAGCAACAATAACCGGATTATCTCGAGTGCTGCCGCTGGTGGAGAGCCCCGATGCTCCACTGACATATTCATCGGGAAATAAAAATAAAAAGGCTCAGCGGTTGATCCAGATGAAAGGAGAGTTAGTGTGTATTTATTCAACAATGATAAATATTCATACGTTTGAAAGGTGAGGATCTAATCAAGCCCCCCTTCGTGCTCGCCCGGTAAATGAGTTTCTCTATGGAAATGAGTCGGAGAGCCTCAGACCCCTGAGCTGGCCGGATCCTGAGGCATGCTGGGAGTTAAGTGGATGTGGCCTGTGCACTGCAGGACAGTTGCCAATGGCAACAACCATCGCGGTTTGCTCAGACAAGATCATTTCTCCGTGTTGTGCTGTCTCCTTTTTTCTCGGTGTTGCTACTTTTCTTCGCCCATCTGCCTCCCACTTGTATCATTTTTAGTCTCTCTCGTCTCGTTCCACATTGTGTCCTCATCATGTTCCTCCTAATTATCTCTGATTCATATTTGCCCCTCCTGTATTTTCACTCTGACTTTTGTCCCGTTCTTCGTCTGAACCCCCCCCCCCCCCACAATTCTCTTTATTCCCACTCAAAACGAATCCTACGCTTAGCCAGCACTGGTGCAGGGCTGTGTTTGTCATATTGGGCCTATTTGTAGATAATTAGCTGCAATAATAGCCTCTCTGCAGGAGACAGGGTGAGGGAGGGATGAATAGAAAATGAGAGAGAGGAAAAAGGAAGAATCTGTCTTCTACCTCATGGGGAGAAAATCCGAGCCAGACTTGGACGTGGCGTGTTACGGAAGTGATGTAGTGCAAATGTTTAAAAACTCACTCACAGGTTTGTCTCTTTTTATTTTTTATTTTATTTTGTTTTACGAGCTGCTGCTCTGATGCGGGTGAGGCGATCCCACCGGTTGGCATCCAAGAAGCTTTAGAGTTAAGCTGGAGGGAAAATGGCAGCTTTTGACAGAAGAGCACATGAAGTGGGCTCTTCAAATGCATTAGTGTAAAAGGTGCTAAACCAAAAAAGCCCACTTTCAATAAATTTCCTCTAAATTGATCGCAGTTATGAGTGAATGCATGCAAGGGGTTGCGGAGAGGTTCTTCTTTAGTCTGCCTATTAGTGGAAAATGCCGGATGAAATTGCTCTGCATCCATTACAGGTACGGTGCAGGAAATTAAGCCGTACGAAGAGTTATTTACTGCTGTTTTCCTTTTCCCTTTGTATAAAACCACCACAGCGGTTTGCATCATTAAGCCTCCCCCTCCATGGCTTTTATTTAAGAGGTGACAAATGACAAAACAGCTTAGGAAGATGTCCAGATAGAACAAACGTCGATACGAGTAGATGCACACGAGGATAAGCAAATGTCAAAGCGTGGAGGAGAGGACTTTAGTCAATAAGCCGAGCAATATCTACTTCATTATAGATCACGGGGAAGTTGGAGGACAGGAAACATGTTTTTTTGTTCTAATGCGTGTGTGACAAAAGCCATATATTTTCAGCGTAGTGTAACATTAGCAGTTGGTTCTCAGGTGAGAGCTGCAGACACGCAGAGGTTTCCTCACAGCAATTTAAAAAATCTGTAAAGGTGTGAAAAGCTGGACGATGGAGAGGAAACCAAGTGGAAAGGAGTCATGGTTGATGCGGTCCAGTCTGAATCCACATGTAGGAAACACCTCCGAGTGTGGGAAATAAAACCTGGCAGATGATGACACACATCAGCTCCTCTCTGACATAATTGTTCCTAAACAGCTCCGCGAGTGTCCAGCCCTCAATGCTGCCTCCCTCCCTGCCTCTACTTGAGTCTTTTTCCTTCGATTTGGAGCTGGAAGCAGCAATGAGGTGAAAGACGCTGACAGCCAGAGAAGCAAGGGAACAAAACGGATGCTCAGAGACTTAGTTTGTCATCAGGGCGGCTCGTGGGCCCAAGAAAAGATCATGCGATTGAGAAGATTCCAGTTAGTCCTCAGTGTTGTGAAAGTCGTGGAGAATGACCTTTAAATCTTGTGCAATGACACTTAACCTATTCAATATTTTCTTAAATTCAACACTTTCCCTAAAATTACAGCCTTGTTAACCTCGACTCTTCCTGTGAAGACCGCGTTGGGATTTAGGTGAATGTGCGAAAGCTTTTCAGAAGATTATCGAAGCAACAGAACAGAAATCTCCAACTTAATAGTGTTTGTGTTTCTCCACAGCAGCATTACCAAATGAAACACATCCAGCCTGTCTGAATGAGATGGCTCCCCATGTGATTAAGATGGTGGTTAAACTGAGATTCACTGACATTTTGACAGCGGTCTTATATTCAGAATAACTCCAACTGTTTATGTGGAGAGGCACTCATAGGCATGGGGTTCCCGATGCTTGGTGCCAGCTGATCATTCATCCGCTCAATTTAAATCATATATGGCAGACAGTGAGTCTTTGAACAAATGTAAAAAAAAAAGTCACATAGATGTCTGTGTTGCTATAATGTTTTCATTCTCAGGGCCTCAGCTTTTATAGTAGAAATCCACCAGCAAGTAGACGGTTTTTGCGGTTTTGGGAGATTTCTCTAGCTTGACCGAGGTCCACAAAAACATTTGAGCTTCCACAAAACTTCTGTGGCTAAGTCATGGTGGTTTATTATCATGTAGGATCATGGATTCTTTTTTTCAAGCTCCCCCTGGATAAGTGTTGAGGGTTTCTGGGAGAGCCCTTCACTCTTTTGGGGGAGCTGGGATCCCCCAAGCTCCCCTTTAATTCAAACCCTGGGTAGCTGGCACATTTGGTCCAACTAATCACCAAACCTCACTGAACCACAATTTACCTCTTCATAAGTATTGACATGTTAGGTGGCCCAAAAGGTTAAATGAAATATGAAAGCCACAACTCAAGGAAATAATCCCCGATGCAAAATAAGCCGCTGCACAAAAACTTTACCTACAACAGAAGAAATAAAAAAAAAAAAAATACTAAAGTTGTGTTCAACAGGTGTCATGCCAAAATAATTACCCCCAACAAAATGAGTTCTTCCCTGCTACAGGAGCAGTGTATTTTTTGCATCAAATAATATCTTTATACGAAATCTGGAAATGAACACAGGGATCTTTAATGTTGAGAACTTGCTATTGAGTGTTAAAATTTATTCAGAGGTGCCAATACTTGGCAAGGTCACATTAGCATTCAAGCTAGTCCACATAATCCTTTAGTAAAGGCAGCATACACAATTATCTTTACATATTTTATTTTATCTGAGTAACATTTCAATTACAACTATCTGAAATACAATAAATTACTTAGTATTGACCTATCCTAAAGAAGCTTTGCCAATTCTTCACGAAGCTCCTTCTATCTTTTAAAAGTGTCTCAAATGTAAATTCTGTTCGACTGTTGTGAACGCCAGAAGGACTTTGAAGCTGTTTGGATTTTCTTTGAGAAGTAGAAGGCAGTTGATGAATCTGGAACTTTGGTATTGGTTCTGCACACTTCGGCTTCTTTCGGGGGTGGGCGTAACCCAACAGCGCACGCTGGCGACTGGAGTGTTGTCCTCGTTGACAGACAGCTCCCTCTTGTGGATACTCAACATTGGTCAACGCTCGAGACTTGCGTAAATGATTCGTTTTGCTGTAGAGGTCAATAGAGGTACTTAGGCGAAATTACCTACTTTGCATCAGAAACCAGGATCAGATAGACAAATTTAAGCATCTTTAAAGTTACTTTAAAAATTCAAGTACCCCAGCTTTAAAACTGAAACAAAAGCTCTCTCTCTCTCTCTCTCTCTCTCTCTCTCTCTCTCTCTCTCTCTCTCTCTCTCTCTCTCTCTCTCTCTCTCTCTCTCTCTCTCTCTCTCTCTCTCTCTCTCTCTCTCTCTCCTCTCTTCTCTCTCTCTCTCTCTCTCTCTCTCTCTCTCTCTCTCTCTCTCTCTCTCTCTCTCTCTCCTCTCTCTCTCTCTCTCTGTGTCTGTCTGTCTGTCTGTCTGTCCTGTCTGTCTGTCTGTCTGTCTGTCTGTCCTGTCTGTAAGTGAATGGGACGTTTTCCAAGTTAAATAAATAAAATACACAAATAAGGTTTGCCATTTGTTGACTTATTGATTTGTGTAGTGTTTCCTTTGTAGGTTCATTGTTTCTCACACATTTATTTGTAATTAGTCATTTGACCACAAAAGCAATCGTCCTAACGGTCTCCGTTTCTTAAAGGTAAATTTAGTCACATTACCTTTAGAACTGTAAATAACATAGGTGTGACCAAGTCACTGCTTTGCAAATCACAAGTAAGTCACAAGTCTTTCCAGTCAAGTCTTGAGTCAAGTCCAAGTCAAAGACAACCAAGTCCAAGTTGAGTCCAAGTCAATGATGTGGAAGTCCAAGTCAAGTTCAAGTCCTTAACTTTGAATTTTCAAGTCATATTCAAGTCATCTGTCCTATTTCATTTTAATGACAACGATAATAAATAAATTCCAGAAATAAAGCTTCTGTCTTCTCAGTCCCCAGCGAGTCGTGGCGGATGGCTGCTTAAACTGAGCCAGGATGACACCAGTCAGTGACTTGATGCAATTTGCTGGGCTCCTTATATAGGAAACTTTATTTCTGATTGGCTTAATGAACTGACCTGTATGGGAATGTTTACTACGTGAAGTGCCTTGAGACGAC